CTTCCTCCCAGACTGAGCCAAGTGTCCCTGCATAAGCTCCAGGTTTCAAACAGTCAACTCATGCAATGAGCACAGGACTTGGTCCCACTGCCTAGTTGCCTCCCAAACTGATCAAGCCAATCAACTGTCTCACCTATTCAGAGGGCCTGATCCAGCTGGGGGCCCCTCAGTCTTTGGTTCATAGTTCATGTGTTTCCATTCATTTGGCTATTTTTTTTCAATAATTGAGTAAAAACCGAAATTTATTATAAGCCACATGGAGGCTATATATATAGCATGGAGGTCCCTAGGACAAAAATAATCTTTTAAATTACAATGTTCAAAATTAAATATCGTAAGAAGCTAGATAAAGGGAGGACTTCAAAAAAAGAGGAACTCCACCGAAAAGAAAGGATTATTTCTATGTCATCAAAAATCAGTTAAATACACATTTAATACACTTCAATCATATATAAATATTATTCAAACGGAATGATGCACAAAACCGTAGTTAGCTGTGTATTCTGTCGTTGGTTGCACTAAGTTTTCAAGGACATTTCTCACAGACTGTGTATGTATGAGACAGGTGTGTGTCAGCGTAGCTGGGAGGTGACTGTGCTTATGTCCAGGAGTGGAAGCAGCAGATACCGTTCTTCAACGTTTTCCCCTCTGGACCACGAGCATGTTCAAAGAATGCTTGTACTCAGAGAAATGACCTGGGTTTAGGAGAAGATCACTAAAGAAACCCAGTTTCTTGAAGCAGTAAGGCCTAGCGGAAGCTGAAGCACCAGCCCGCGGCCACTAACTTCTGGCTAATTATGCTTTATTTATGATGGTTTTTTTTTTTTTTGTTCTGTTCTTGATGTTGTCTTTCAATGTCTGGCTTTTAAATATACAGTAGATGACATAGTTCTCTGTAGCTAAAGTTTTCTCTGGTCCTGCCCAGCCCCGTGGACCCCACAGCCACTTATAAAATAACCACTCAGAAGCTTATATTAATTAAAACTGCTTGGCCATTAGCTCAGGCCTACCACTGACTAGCTCTTACATTTAAATTCAGCCCATTTCTATTAATTTATGTGTTGCCACATGTTCCGTGGCTTTACCTTGTGCCATTATATGCTGCTTTCTGGATGGCAGGCTGGTGTCTCCTCACTCAGCCTTTCTCTTCCCAGAATTCTCCTCTCTGCTTATCCTGCCTATACTTCCTGCATGGCTACTGGCCAATCAGTGTTTTATTTATCAACCAATCAGAGCAACACATTCACTGCATACAGAGCACCCCACAGCAGCCCCCCTGTTCTCTTTTGGCATCCTTTTAAATGCTTTGTTTAAAAAATAAAAACATTGACTGCTTTTCTCAAATTACCATTTGTTACAATACACACACTTTGGAGGATTCATTTTTAATGCTGTTTTCTTGTTTTTGTTTGATTGATTGGTTGGTTGTGCGTGTGTGTGTGTGTGTGTGTGTGTGTGTGTGTGTGTGTGTGCGTGCGCGCGCGCGCTGTTTTTACTTTTGAGGCAGGGTCTCACTATGTAGCCCTGGCTGTCCTGGAACTCACTATGTAGACGAGGCTAGCCTCTAACTTACAGAAATACTCCTGCCTCTGCTTCTCAAGTGTTGATATTAAAGGTGTGAGCCACTATGCCTGGCTAAAAGATTAATTTTTCATTTTATGTTCTCAAAACGCATTTATATCTAGCACCATCAGAAATATAGCAAGTGTTTGCTCTCTCTGCTAAAGTCCCATTCCCCCTGTGCAGGTCTCCTGAAGACAAATGTCTGTGACCCAGATTCTGGCTGCCAGAATCCATGGGCAGGCAAAGGTCTAGCTCAGCCTCCTCCTTTTATAAAGTGTGATTCCAGCTTGCATTTCTCATCATTCACCATTTCACTGCTCTGAATGTTGTTAGAGTGGTATATAAAACTTTATACAATTACAAGCATTATAAAGCTGATTCTATCACAGGTGTGGGGAGTGATTCTGCACCGGTCAGTGTACGATGAAAGATTGCATGATTTTAGCATTTTGTCACAAGTTTTCCTGTGGATTCACCATGGAAAATGAACATGGTATCCCAATGATTCAAAAAATACACTTGCACATGACCTTAGATGCTTTGTTGTGTCCTTGTGAGGAGAGCCCAGAGCATCTGCAGAGAACTGAGGAAACGTGAGAACTTGATTGTCCTGGAAAAACAGCTAGACCTGAGAAACAGAACTATTCCCAGGATGGTGGGGAAAAGTTTTATTAACAGCTAAGAAACCACATTTTAACAGGCACGTTTCACTGTATGTGTAAAGTGTTCCCTGGTGAACCAATTGAGTTGTAGGAAAAAACACCTTTCCAAAAGTGCTTTGCCCAAGAAAGTGCTATGACTTCCCTGTATCCTTCAAAGTCAATTTCCTCAGCGGCGGCGGTGCTGTGGAGCCCTTCAAATGAAAGCCCAGTATAAAGGTGACTCCCCCAGGGGACTCCTCCGCCTTCTGTTACCACTCTAGCTCGGTTCTCCTTACTTTGGAGGAAATGATGTGTGTGAGCCAATGGCAGAATTGACCTGTTCTGCAAACAAGGGACTCATTTACTGTCTGGTAATTTATTGCAGCGGAATACCAGGCACTCTGTAGCAGTGGACCGGGCATGACCTCAGCAGGCACTGGTAAGGCGGCGTCATTCTGAAATTTACTGACTTAAGCATGTGCAGAGGCAGTACTGAGTCCCCTGTGGGTATCTAGTGACTCTGCGACAGTCTGGCCTGACACCTTACGTCACCACAGGGCGATAGACATGGGATGCCCAGAAGCCCCCATGGCAGAGCCGCTGTGGCACACGGATGACTGTGTGTGTGTGTGTGGGGGGAGCTTTCTCACTGGCCTTTCCTGGGGCAGTCGATGGGGAGCTGTAGATGGGACACAATGGCTGGCATGGCTCATTCTAGAGAAGTGGGGGCCTGAGCCTTTCATGGATTTCCAATGTCAAATCAAAGCTGAGGGTGTTGGATTGGACACGCAGTTAACCCATTCACAACCTGAAAGATTTCCTAATTCTCAACGGTTCAGTCGTAAGATGCCACCTAAATTTTGTAGCAAAAAAAATAACAGCAACTAGCTAAGTTAAAAGAAAATGAACTCGCCGGGCAGTGGTGGCGCAC